ATTTTTCAAAATAACAGCCGTGAAAAGAAGCCTCAATTTTAAAACTCTCTCTCAGCATGATGTTGCTTTGAAATTCGCCATACCAAATTATTCTGAATGAAAGCAAGAGTTTGCCGAATCGCTCAAAGGTCGAAAGACACAAGAAAAATCGTTAACACTCTCGTATATGCCCACTCACACTTCCTGGGGAATCAAAAGCTGGATGAGAAAGTCCTTTTACTGTTTTTCTCTATGTTGCTGCCAATTATTGACTTGTGGATTTAAATAATTTCGCGTAATTTCCAATAAAAATTATACGCTTTTATTGAATTCCTAATCCAATTATATTTAGTTATATTTGTGACATAAATTTAAATGAGCAAAAATCAATAAAAGATTTAGGAGTCATCTTTGACACAACTCAATCTTTTACTGATCATATAAATGCTATTGTAAATAAAGCCGTAAAACTGCTAGGATTCGTAAAAAAAAAAAAAACTCCAAGGATTTCAACAATATAAATTGTATAAAAAAATCTTTATACTTTTCAATTATTCGCTCTATTCTTGAGTTCAACTCTCCAGTTTGGTCTCCAAGTTATCTCAAATACATTAATAACCTTGAAAAAGTTCAAAATGGGTTTTTAAGATTCTTAGCCTATAAATTACACTTAAACTTAGACTATATAAATTATGATGAACTAAGAGCTGTGATGGAAATTTCTCCCCTTAAAATAAGACGAGATATTTATGATGTTATACTTTTATATAAATTGTTAAATTTTATTATAGAAAGCCTTGAGCTTCTGCAACGAGTTTATTTAAATGTTCCTTTGAAATTAACTATATATAAAAATTTATTTTCTACCCCTTATTGTAATACTATCTATTCTCAGCACCTATTATCAGAGCATGTAGGCTCATGAATTCAGTAGAGGTTGACTATTATGAAATAAATTACAAAACTTTAAAAATAAAATTACATCCGCTTTGAGTGTTGCTTCAACATAAACGATTTATTGCATGTTATGTATTTCTATGTGATATAAAATGGCTAAAGCCGTGAATAAAAATTATTATTATTATAGATCCTCTAGCCCGTTCCTCTACACCATCTTCACTGCTGACATACCCACACATCCAAACACACAAATCACAATCACAGCGGACGTCACCGCAATCTTATCAACACACTCCAATCCTATCCTAGCAACAGAAGCGCTCCAATAACACCTGAACCTTATTACCAACTGGTGCAATCTGAGGCGGATCAGGTTAAACGAACAGAAAAGCCAACAAGTTACGTTTACGCTCAAACCTGTCTACCAGTGCACATTTACAACAAGATAATACCACCATCGAACCAAGTCCGCTACCTTGGGCTTTACTTAAATAGTAGACTTACTTGGAACCCATATACACGCTTAAAACGGCAAGAACTTAACAAAAAATACGGACTACTCAGACACCTACTTGGACCAAAATCAAAACTAAGCATACATAACAAACTAACCGCTTACAAAACACTCATCAGACCTATTCGGACCTACGGAGTCGAGCTGTGGGGCTCGGCCAAATCATCCAATATCCAACGAATTCAGTCTTTTCAGTCTAAAGTTCTCCGCCGTATCCTCAATGCTCCGTTCTATGTCACCAATCCATAAAGATCTTAAAATCCCTTTCGTGAAAGATCTTTTCCGAACACGCTTCTTCACTTTCCACTAACTCTCCCTCCACCCTAACTCACTAGCCCTAACTCTTTCCTCAACATCTCACCCTTACAATCCTCCGCGCCGTTTAAAACGACGGTAAAAAAATTAAATAAATTGAAATTTTTTCTTTTTACATAAACATAAATTTTATAATAGAAAAAATATATGCTATTTTGATTTATATTGACAAAATTAACACTTGAAATTGCCTTGCTGATAATATGTTTACAGAATAGCATCCTTCAATGAAAATATGGCTTTTATTTTTTTGATATTTTTATTAAACCGACATAATTTTCTAAGCTAGGTGAGATAAATTTAAGGATTTCCCAACATGATTTCCTTATCATTCCGACATTATTCGCAAGATAACACGACTGACGTTCTGGTCGATTCATGGTACACTTGTGATTCTTCTGATTTTATTTTCTGTTCTCGATATTATCTAATTAATCCAACATAAATTTTTTATTTTATTACGGTAGAATATCGTCCGATTTTTCAGATTGACAGTTATCGAAAGTATACAAGGGCCGATGGTGTGAGTCAGTCGTAACGGTACTATTGCCCGGTGACAATGAAGGCGCTCGCCCAGATTGGAAAAAACAAAAACAAAAAACAATCTTTTCTGTTTATCCAACAAATTAATTTTGTATGATTCTTGTAGAATATATTATCCATAATAAAGCAACAAAAACGATCTTATCGTTATTCCGACATCATTATTTTTTGGTTTATCCAAAAACTTTACTTTTTAGTTAATTATTTTACAATATGTCCATTCCGACATTATTCACAAGATGCCCGACTTATGTTCTGGTCAATTCATGGTACATTTTTAATTGTTCAAATTTTATTTCCTGTTTTTCTCAGAATTATCTGTATTTAATTCAACATAAAGATTTTCTGGACAAAAGTATTTTCTGTTTTTTTTTTTTTTTTTTTTTTTTTCCCGACAGTATTTTATGGTTATTAAAACTGAATTTTCTGACTTACTCGACATTATCCAATTAATCCAACATAAACATTTTTTAGACAACAGTATTTTCTGGTTTTTCGACATTATTTTATGGTCAATAAAACTCTATTTTCCGTATTACTTGTCATTATCTAATTAATCCAACATAAACATTTTCTGGACAACAGTATTTTCTGGTTTTTTGACATTATTTTATGGTCAATAAAACTCTATTTTCCATCTTATTTGACATTATCTAATTAATCCAATATAAAAATTTTGGGGCAACATTAATTTCTAATTGTTTGACATTAATTTACAGTCAGTTTAACTGTATTTTATGTTCTTATCGACATTATTTTCTAATTTATCTGATGTGTATTTTCTAGTCAATGCAATTCACAGTTTATGGTTCTGACTTAAGTTCATTACTTTCTGGCTTTTCGACATTATTGGCTAAACTACATGTTGTTTTATCTGACATTATTTTATTAGTTGAAACTTAATTCAAAAACAGTATTTCCTGGACTTTAATTATTTACTGATTATTATAAGAGATTTTATTATGGTTAATTAGACATTATTTTCTGAACAATCCGACTATTTTATGGCTAATTCGACAATACTATTTTATGGATAATTGTACTTTTTTCTGGTTAATACGTCATAATTGTTTAAGTATTTTGACTTAAATTATTTTGAGTAAATGAATTAGAAGTAATGATGTAATAATTTTTTAAGGTTAATGCTACAAGAGTTGTTTTATGGTTAATCTAAGGGTATTTTTTGTTTTATGTCACATTATTTTTTAATTAATTCAATCACGTTAATCTCTAGACGATTGGACATAATGGTTTACTGATAAATCATAAATGGCAATATAATTTTCTGGTGTATGGCTAATTCGACAATATTATTTTATGGTTAACTCGTCAATACTATTTTATGAATAATCGTACTTTTGCCTGGTTAATCCGTCATAATTGTTTAAGTATTTTGATTGAAATTATTCTGAATAAATGAATTAGCCTTTCAGAATAATTCATTCTGGTTTTAAAGGTTTCATTAAACCTTTCAGAATTAATGAAATAATAATTTTTAAAGGTTAATGCCACAACAGATTTTTCCCATTATTTTATGGTTAATCTAAGTGTATTTTTTGTTTTATGTGATATTATTTTTTAATTAATTCAACCACTTTGCTCTCTGGACGATTGGACATAATGGTTTACTGTTAAATCATAAATGACAATATAATTTTCTGTTGAATTTGACTATTATTTTATGGTTAATTCATCATTGTTTTCTGATTCGACTGAAATTATTATTTTCTGGTGGATACGTTACAAATTTGTTTTGAATCAAAAATCCATTTTGAAATGGTTCGTCGTCGATCGACGATCTATACATGTTGACAAGTCTAAAATAATTAACCGGGGAAAGCAGAAGGCAAATCTATTACGTGAGAAACAGCTAGGAAGAGAAGTTTGCATTATGACTAAGCGCTATTCTTCCTTTCAACTCTTTTTTCCATTACCATTGTCATGCTCGATGGCTACATATTCGAGATGATTTTAAGCGTAAAATTCAAAATAAAAAACACCACGTCTTCACATTATGTGACTTGTTTAGTTATGTGTGATTTCCATGGTTTAAAAAAACATTAAATCAAGTGCTTCGAGAATAAAAATATGAAAATCGACTCATTAGACAAAAATTTCTAGTTCAAAAGAAACCTACTAGATATTGATTTTTGTTAATAACAACAATTTTTTGTTTTGTTATAAAGTCCCAAACCAAGTTGAAACAAGAACAGATCAGCGCGTATAATAGCGCATAGACAAATCAAATGAACATCGAGACAATGCTGTCCAAAAAAATATAAATGTTTCTTAATTTGAAACACAATACGATTTAAAAAAAATTAAATGTTTAAAGATTTAAAGCTGTAAACTACATTGTTAAATTATAAAGGGAAGATAGAATATTTTATTGCTAAATAATGGCATTTTTTGGTTTTATTTTTCCTCAAAATGTTTCATTTTCTATCAGACTCGAAAGTTGACACTAAAAAGTGTTGTTACTAATTTCTAGTAGTATATGATGAAGCTTTTTGTTTATAAATTATGATTGTTAATATATTTAATTATGTTTATTATAATTATGACAATTGAGTCATTTTAAATCTAAACATAGGCGAAGAAGAAATAACCAAGTACCTTTTTTATACTCGGAATATATAGTTTAAGGAGAGGACGTACGACAAGGAGGAAATAAAAATAACTAGAGTAAGTATCTTTTAAGTTTTTATTTAGAAAATAAAGAATAACAAAATTTAACAAATAGTGTAGCAATATTTAACAATTTTTGGTAAACAAATCAGTCGTGATGTTTCTTGTAGTGTACGGGAACAGGTACATGTTTGACGACGGGTACTGGAATTTTGACAGGAACTTTGACTTCATATGGAACCCGTTTTTCAACGGTGTAAGGAACTTTTTTTTCTACGAAAACCTTATAGGGTTTCGGCACTTCCACGGTGTAGGGCTTGTCGACAGGCACTTTGACTTCGACGGGTATCCTTTTCTCCACGGTGTACGGAACGTGTTTTAGGACTTGTACATGGACAGGATACGGCTTGTCTACCGGTACTTTGACCTCATACGGTACGTATTTCGCGACCGTGTAAGGCACTTTTTTCTCAACGTAGACGTTGTAAGGCTTGGGCACGTGGACGGGGTACGGTTTATCAACGAGAACTTCGACTTTGTAAGGTACTTTCTTCTCTACGGTGTATGGGACGGGTACTGGCACTTTGACCTCATAGGGTACTTTCTTTTCCACGGTCACTGCGAAGGGTTTCGGAATCGGGACGTCGTACGGCTTGTCAACAGGAACTTCGACCTTATAGGGCACTTTCTTCTCGACGGTCACGGGATAAGGGACCGGTACTTTCTTTTCCACGGTCACCACTTTGATTTCTTCTTCTTCTTCTTCTTCTTCTTTATGGAACGAGCCTTGATGGAGGTCGTGGGAGGACTGGAAGTTCTGATAGCTCGTAGATTCGTGCTTGTGGCCGCCTTCTCCTCCACCTTCGTCGTGCCTGCTGAAATCATAAACGGCACCGCCTCCTAAAGATGGGTAACCGCCACTCTCCTGGCCTCCAAAAGACTCCTGCAGATGGCCACCGTGCTCACCTTCACCCCTCACCAACAGGACACAGGCTAAGAATAGTAAGATGCGAGACATCACGAGCCTTCTACCCTTCCGACTGCTCCTTTCTTCTTCTTATACACGACTCCCCACCTAGATTCTTTTCCCTCTTTTCGTCCTGCCGCCTTTACTTACACTACTTTCCAATTCTCTCATTTCAATTATTATTTAATAACAACAAAAACTTTACGTTGCGTCAAATAATTTTGAAGAGCCAGGTAAAAAATAACTTTCAAAACAACCATTACCTTACCAACTTCGTATTAATAATTTAAATAACCAGCCATACTCTATATTTCCCAAGCAAAACATTAAATCTACATACCAAGTACATTTTTAAAATTTACTTAATATTCGAAAGATAGATCAATTTTTGATTTTACCTAACGAAATTCAAACTATTTATCTACGTTGGAAAATTCAATATATTTATTGTTAAAAACGTTAAATACCTACAGTAATTTGTTTAAGAAGTTACTTATCCTTAAGAATTATGCATTACTGTCTTGAAAAAATAGGCGTTGTTTCAGGTGAGCTGGACAAGGAAGCTAGGGTACAGGAAGAATGACGTTAAACGTTAAAAAAACTGCAGAACACGGTGGAACGTAACTTCAACAATCTGCAGAACATCAAAATTTCTGTAAACGTTTTTGATTGTTCAAAAACGATGCTATCGTCGTAGTTAACGTGTACTCGAGTGCGTCCTTTTGGCATTATTAAAGGACATTGACAAACACATCATATTAGACCCATCATAAATAATATCGAAGTACGTAAAAATTATTGCCGGGTTTAATGAAAAACTAAGAAGATAATTAAAATATTAAATAATAATAAATTAATAGTCGTTAGTAGTGTATAGGGCACTTAGGGCATATAGGTTTTACCCCCTTTATCTTCCCTGTCATCGCGTCTGGCGAGAGTGTTTACCCCCTCTTTTCTTCCTTCCAGACACCCCTACCACTAGTAGTCGGGTCTGATGGGGGTTTGACGAGGGTTGTTTTCACCCTTATTTTTTCCCTTGTGACGTCACTTTTTTTTAAAAAAAACCACCATGAGGTTTGATGATGGTTGTTTCCACCCTTATTTTTTACCTTGTGACGTCACCACGCCGGTAATCTGACCACGCCTGCATGTTCGTGCATGCCTCACCCACCCTTCTGACTTGACGAACATGTTTGTGTATGTCTCTTTCATCACCATGCCGTTAATCTGACCACGCCTGCTTGATTGAGCCTGCCTCGCACACAAAGTATTATCGACCGTTCTTTGTATATTGCATTATTAATTATATCTTATTTTTAATTTTATAAAGATGACATTAAATTAGACCCCATTTTATCTGTCGCCGTAATTTAGAGTATTGCATTTATTTTAAATTCATTTTCTCCTCCTCTTTTTTCAAACCGGGTTGAAACAGTCTTCGCCAGAGTTAAAAAATGAATTTAAAATGAATGCTAACTTCCAGTCAAATTACCCTCTCATAATTAATAATGATAATTTTAAACATATAGAAATCCTAAATAAATTAATCCAATAAACTTTCAGAAAAATAAAATAACCCTCTCAAAATAAATAACGAGAAACAAAAACAAAGAATTCTTCTACATAAATTAACGCAATGTATATTATGTTCTATTATATTCTCTGGATTGAATTTGGATATAAGATCACGAAAATTGATGAAATTTGGAATTATAAGACAGTACACTCTTCAAAGAGAAAAAAGAAGACGGGATATTTTCTAAATGTATAAATCATTTCCTTAAAATAAAACAAGAAGCTTCAGGTTACCCTAGTACTGTAACGGATGAGATAAGCATGAAAAGCTACATTCAATCGTATTACCAGGTGGAAGGTATTACGTTAAATAAATCTGCCATAAAATGTAATCAGGGACTACGCTCTTTAGCAAAGTTGATGCTTAACTCGTTTTCGGACAAATTCGCCCAACGAGACAATTTTACAAAGACAACTTCAATCGAAGACCCCTCTCAATTATATGAAATGCTTTCAAATTCTAACTACATTGTGAATTATATTCAGGAAATCAATGATAATGTCATCTGTGTCAACTGGGAGAATAAGGAAGATACTATAGTACCCTCTCCAATTGTGAATGTAGCAATTGCTGCTTAAACTACCACTCAAGCCCGCCTAATACTGTACAACTACCTCGAAACATTAGGTGAGAGAGTTTTGTACTATGATACTGACTCGATTATATAGCATTTTTCAGTCAAATGAAACTTTTTTTCAACCAAATGAAACTTTTTTTCAATCAAATGAAACCTTTTTGCAATCAAATGAAACTTTTTTTCAATCAAATGAAACCATTTTTCAAGCAAATGAAACCTAAAACCTAATGATAATAATTATGTAGAGGAATAAATAAATTACATTATAGTACTGACAATAATTTTTATGATGATTAAATATTAATATTACAATAATTGAATTGTAAGGCTTAGCTACAAGAACGTTTCTTGTGAAGATCCGTATTCATCAAACTTTTCTACATCCACCCCGTCGAAGTTTAATTAAGTGGGGTAGAAAAGTGTTTTTGGGCGAGCAACAACTTTCTGTGATATATAGAAATTATGAATGATAGAGTGGGTGTGGATTTCAATCCTTTTTAAAAAAATGGTTCCTACTCACAGTAAGTTGTTTCGCAACAATCCGGATTTCGAACCCTTTAGCTCATCATCAGGTTGCAGGGTTTCTACAAACACGTCTCTCGACATGAATTGCAAAAGTGAACCCGCTGATACCCCCGCCAACACCGAAAACGCCCCTCACGTTTCGATCATTATTGAGATCATCATCAGGGCCTGGGATTTACAAATTATTTACATTTAACAAATACATGTAGGATGTGGAAAAAGTGAATTTATACACTTGTTTCTCAACAATCCGGATTTCGAGCCCTTTAGCTCATCATCAGGTTGAAGGGTTTCTACAAACACGTCTCTCGACATGAATTGCAAAAGTGAACCCGCTGATACCCCCGCCAACGCGAAAACGCCCCTCACGTTTCGATCATTATTGAGATCATCATCAGGGCCTGGGATTTACAAATTGTTTACATTTAACAAATACATGTAGGATGTGGAAAAAAGTGAATTTATACAATGCAAAATATATTTTTTTATATTCAATCAAAGTATTTCTTCTCACTCAAAGTGTTAGTCTTCTGTGTAATTGTGCGAGATATTGCTGTTTTATGTTTATATATGTTAGATTTTGAAGGGAAGGAAGTCGGTATAAAAAAGACATTTTTGTATAAGGCGTCGGCTTCTTTGAGGTGAAAAAAGCCGACGAAGGGAAAAAAACGTTGGTAATGGTTCGGCCAGATTATCCTTTCAGGATTATATAGAAGGGGATAAATAGGAAAAGGAAAGCTAAATTGTTGAAAAATTAGACTATGTGAAAAATGTTTGATGTGTGGAATGTGATATGATGATATATGTATGTTATCTATATTGAATTTGATTAATGATATTGGCGTAGCTGCGACTGAGTTTTCATGTATCTGTTCTGTAATTGATGCTGTGTTTATCTCTGTTAATATAAACCATTTCTAAGAAATTACGTTTATATTTGTTTTGTTCTGTATGTAATATTTTTGGTTTTTTGAAGTCGAAATTGTGTTTGTGTTCAAAATGGTGGGTAGCGAGTGCTGTAGGATTTTGCTTGGGTTTTTTGCAATCTTAGATATATTGCTTTACTCTCTTGTCCAGATATTCGGATGTAAGACCGATGTAAGTTGCCCGACAGCGTAAACAGTTGATTTTGTAGATTATGTAAGATTTATTTGTTATTGGTGTGGGATCTTTAATTTTGGAAAAAAAGTGTTTGAATTGTTTTATAATTTTTGAAAGCTATTTTGAAGTCATCGGACGAGAGAAATGTGTTTAATTTATGTGATAGGTGTGAATGAATGGCATGGAAATGTATGCTGGTTTGTTTGTATTTGATTGTGTTTTTAAAGCCAAGTAATCTGGCGCATAAAACAAAAACAAAAACCCTGACGTAAGTTTTACCGAGCTTAGATAAATAAAAATCGTTTTAGAAGCTCGAAGCCAGTCAGAAATCTCAGCATCTGCACGGTCAAGAAAACAGTAAAAGCTCGGATGAACAATATACACAAAGCCCTCCGCCTGTAATGTTCATGTCCGAGAATAATCTTCGGATGACGCGTCTAATTATATTTTATCTGGAGCATGTCCATCCTTCCTGGAAGTAATGAGCGTTCTCTTGGTTTTGCAGTTTCGTTAGACACTCCGCTTTTACAGGACTTGCGTAACAACTAGCATGATTGATGGCGTGCGTTGGTTTGTTCCAGGTGTTTTTTCCCCTAATTCCTGTGAAGTGGATCTATGTATTGATAACTATCAATCCTATACAAAATGTCAAAAAAGCTGACAGTTAAGTTCACCAGAAAACAAAAACCTATTTGATTGTTCTAGGTGATTAAAAACCTCGCATAAACATAAGAATTAAAAATTTATTAATTAAAAAATTAATAGTAGAAAATGTTTGGTCTCAACCATAACTATGGTTCCATAACTGGAGATGTCAGCACGACCTTAGATTAAACTTTAAATTTTTTCTAATTAATAAAGTCCATATCTGATTGGCTTATTACAGTTAGGTTTTTCTTATTTGATATATTTTTTTATTATTAATTTTTTGGGCGAGTTTTCTTGTTGAGTTCTGCAGGGTACTGAATCTGCTGTTTGGTCGTTTCGGATCCCCTTGGTTGCATATCCTCACTGGTTTTGTTCGTCAGTCATATTTCAGCATATTCAAGGTTGATCAGTGTTATTTTCATAAAAATTTCTCAATTAAAGCATAAATTAAATAGACATTTGTCAGAACCTAACTGATGAAACAATCACAGACCAAGGAGGTGCTCATATGTGAAGAAACATCAGTGAGGAACTTTGGGTAGAAAGACCAAGAAGAACTTATGCGATTTCTCTTAAAATACAACACAAAGAAGCAACCAAAACGATTCTGTCAGGTCAGGCTGTTAGTTTTCACATTCATCAGGGGTTGGTTTTTAATCATCAAATTTTTAACATTTTTACCCATATAGCAATAATATTTATTGTTTTTGAACACAGCTTTTTAAAAATAATTTTGTATTATGCATTTGGTAAGACCTGGTACGTTTATGAAACCAAACTAAACTACAACTATCCACTATTTTCTTATCTTCAGTCCTTGTCAACTTTTACATTATTGTAAGTAAATAGTTTTTGTTTTCTAATGATATTTTTGATCAAATTATCTGGATAGTTGGTTATACATAATGTTACATACCTCCTTGAGATTTATTTTATGATACATGATATCACTTAATGAAAAAAATTGATAATATTATGACTGCATTGATTTTTTGAGGTGTGATGAGTAATAATTGACAAAATGTGTAGATGTGTTTGGTTTTTATATAAATTTATTGTTTTCATCATGGTGTATTAGCAAACCAAGAAAAGTTATGCAACTATTATGTTCACATTGAATTATAAATTTAACATTTAAGTGTAACATGTTCAACTCTACCAAAATTAACTCAACATCACTCCTATGTATCAATAAACTCAACATATTTTTAAAAAATTGAATTTTTAACTTTGTTATTAATAAAAACTGTTGTAGAAGCTATGTCACATTTATGTGACACAATATCAGCCTCCCATGGGAAGCCCTTTTTGTTGTTTGTACACCACCTCATCAAACACAAAATATGAATTATTTATACATGTCTCTAATATGTCAAAAATCGTATTGCATTTGAAATTAGTACTATTTTTAATAATGTTCCATTTATTCTTAATAAGTTCTATAGTTTTGTTAGTCGGTATGGATGTGAACGTAGACTCCATGTCAATACATATTAATACCTTAGTACCTTGCACCATGATATGTCGTTCAAATTTTTATTTTTTTATTTCCAAAGAGTTTTTAACTTTAAAATTCAATAAGTTAGAAATCAGAGATAAAGGTTTTAATAATATTCACTCTAATAAATAACGCATCATATTTATGAAGGGACAAAGATCTATAACAATTAAAAATATTTATGGCCCTATTTATGGCACATAGGTCATCATGATAAGTTCTTCTCAGAATGGGCGCCTATGTGGTCTCACCCTCATTTGAATGTGTCTGCATACTTATACACAACCTAATATGATCTTTTCCCTTCTAGAACTAGTGATTCTTGAAACAGTTTGTATTTTTTGAACTAAGTAAATTCTATTTATAGATTAACAGCTGCTAATATATATATTTAAAGTACATAAATCTATAAAAGAATAAAACTAATGATTCAGTGTGAAAGTTTGGATATGTACATGCAAGGGCTTAAAGTTCTATTTGTACCTTTAAAATAAACAAATAAATGTAAAAATTGTGCTCTCGTTTTTTCATCGCATCAGGATAACATTTGGTTTGTCATACGTCTTATTTGTGTATTTTATTGTCTAGTATAGTGTTTTTCTGACAAAGTACAAAAAAAGAGATTGATTTTCTGATTTGGTTTAATTATAATATTGAACTTTTAGTTAAGAAGAATTTGATATTAAAAAAAAAATTTTTATAAGTGAGTAAAAATAAAGAAATGTATATTGTACACAATGTTGGATGTATTTTCAATATGTTTATCTATATCAGTGCATTATTTTTTTTTTTTGCTTGTCTAACAGCTCCTAAATAGTCACAATATCAATTCTGGAAACTGTTTATTGTATCTTATTAAACATTTTTGTTAATCTGTTTATCGAAATAAACCGAGTAAATATTTTTTTGCTTATTAACTGCTGATAATTGCCATTTGAAGCAAGGAAATATATAAAAGAATAAAGAGATATATGATATTAGACCATTATGGAAGTACGGATGAGTTATGAAAGACTTTTCTTATCGATTTATGTTCATCAGTCAACATATTAGTAAAATAGCTTTATTCATATTTTATTTTTTGTTATTTTTCCATTTCAACAATTTTTTTTTTATCAACACATCAAAATTATAAATAAGTAATTCAATAGACCGGTATGATTTAGTTCCAAGTAAATTTGTTTTTTGAAAGATAGAAAAGTCTATAAAAATATAAATTTTAGGATAAAGTTTGAATATTCAAATATGATTTTGCAAGTTAATAAATAGTATGAAATATAGCAGTACATGAAGGGGTTTCTTGTTTTCTCATCACATCAGTTTCTGGTTTTCCATATGGCTTATTGTATTTTATGATTTGAGCTTAACTGGCTTGCCACATAGTAATAAATATAATAAAAGACCAATTTACTGATATAGTTTAATTATAAATTAAGTTGTTTGGTTTTGTTATTTAGTTTTTAAGTGGTTCAGTTATGAATTTTATATTTTTCTTGTTTTTACAAGATCTAGGCTAGAACTTCATGTCACATATATGACATGTTCAGATATATTTGTTTTCTTGGTTGAGTTGGCCAGCACTTGTTTGCAAAGACAAAAGTTTAGAGGATAGCAAATGAAGCGACTTTTTTTTTCAAATCAGTAGATTTACTAAGACGACTAGATTTATTGGTGATTGATCCATACCATGGAAAGTAAATTCTCCTTTTTCTATATTATTTCTTTAAAGTAATTTTTATACCCACTTTTATACCCACACAATGCTGCTGAATTCGAACCCGGAACCTTCACCTTACAGTGATGAGCTCCGTGTCAACATCTAAACCGTTGAGGCCACTGACGCCCTTATACACTATTATGAATTATTTGATATATCAAGCAAAGAAATCTATAAAAGAATTTAACAAAAAAAAAGTATAAATGTTTAGCTTTTCAAATTATGATGATGAGCAAATAATTTTTTTTTGCTGTTAATAGCTATTGAATCTGGCACATGGCTATGTTCAAATCACCAAGGCCATTATAAAAAATAGTTCTTATTTTCTGATCACGATAACATGGATTTGGACTGCCAAATGGTTTATCTTTGGGTTGTTGCTTATTCTTTTAAGCAAATAAGCCTAAACCGGATAGAAATAAGATATCAGAATGATTGAGGTTTCCTGGTGTTTGTACTCAATCAAAGTTTTTTGTTAATCATTTGTTTATCTATACCAGCCTAGTAATTTTTTAACAGCTCATTAAACTGGAACATGAATTATCATAGCTTTAAAAAATAGTTGTTGTTTTCTGATCACATCAGGATAACATTCAGTTTGTCATATTTTCGGGTTCTGTAATCTGTTGTTAACTGTGTTGTTTTCTATTACAAATTATACATTCCAAAATAATTCAGTGATATGAATTATTAGAATGTTATTTGATTGATATTTAGATGGAAGTCTATAATCGCATAAAGATGATTCCAGAGAAAATTTTGCTTTTCAAATGTGATTTTTAAAATGGTTTATTCTATCTGTTCTACAGGTTGTACAAAACTGAAGTTTTATGTTATGCATTCCACTGTATCAGTCTGTTAAATAATAAATTTTGGTTAATATTTCATAAACTGGAAAAAATGGCTGCGTTGAAATCACCATAGGTTTTGGATAATTTACAGAGATGCCCTTCATCTTTTTTTTAATTTATGAAAATAAGACAATTTTACCTGAAATCACTTGATGCAAGCTTACAAGAGTTTATAGGTTTAATGTTAGTCGAAATGACCTTTAAAGCTTCGTAGAGCTGGCGGGAAAGGATCTTGTTGCTTGGACTACCTGAAAGCTTTTGTAGTTTTGTCGCGTTGTGCCCCCTATCGTTGGACGTGGTTTTTACACATCTGGCAACTGAACTACTGAAGCCAGTTGGTTTCAGGACTCCGTCGGCTTAACGCTTTCATGTCTCGCCCATCGGCTTTACGTGCAAACGTTGCTGGACAAGTCAAAAGTTCCTACTTGGACGAAAGTCTGATCGCTCTCAAAATTTTGCGAGATTCGCCATTTTGCAAGAACTCTGACAGAACGCACTGGGGATTTTTTAAACGTTCAGTTTGACCAAAGGTAATAAAACTATCTCAGTTTTACATTTGGACTATTTTGAAGATGTTTTTTTGGTCGTACCTACTTCGTATATCAAAATAGAAAATGAAACTTATAAAAAAACCCTGATGACTTAATCCTTGCAGCATATTTTTTACCTATAACGTACAACATAAGTCTGTTAATTTTACTCATCTTGGACTGGGCAAGCCAACGGACTCTAATGAAATGAAAATAGTTATTTCGATTTGTATGCATCTTTGGAGGTTTTGAACTTTAAAGAGATTCTTTCAAAATAGATTAATTTTGTGTTAAAAATTAAGCTAGTGTAGTTTTTTCCTTTAACGAAGCAGAAAATTATTTATCCTTCCTATTTTCATGAAAGATGCTTTCTATCATCTACAGAATATTTTTGTTTTTAAATCTGTCTTGTGTGTGGAATTGGTATCTATATTTATCCGTATCTATTCAAGCAATATAATTTTCCTGGACACTATTATTGAGCAGAACTAAGCAGCAGATTTTTTCATTTAAAAAGCAATAAAAAAAAAACTATCATCCTTTATAAAATTTGTTTCGTATTTTTAAAAAACAACGACCTTTTACCGTGAGAATGTCTTGGAGGGCGAGTCGAGGTGTTACGAAAGAAGTGCCTGATCAGCTTTGGGAACATCACGTGAAACTTGCGTGCAAGTTGTTTGTTCCGGCCTCCGGACGTGCTTATTGCGTGCTTCTTGCAAGGAAAGACGATGATACGAGCGTAAAAAAATAAATAAATCAGAATGAAAAGCAACAAAATCACAAGACAAAAATTCGATAATACAAAATTACATCTATATATATTATGATAAACACCTATACACTATTATCAAAAAAAAGTTTATGTGCAATTAAAGAGATCAGCTTAAGTTGATTAAGAGATAAAGATTAATAATTAGGCTAAGTAGCTAAGTGTTAACACTTTCCATTGTCCAGGTACACTAGAGTATTTAATGCAGAGTGCTGTTTAGAGAAAGTATGGTAAGAGACAGTCTGGTATAACAAGGACTTATGCGAAAGTTAAGAGAGGAAAGGAGATCAGGACAGTGAACATGATTATGTATCAGTTTGTAGGATATATCGAAATGAAATCTGCGGGTGTACAGAGTCAGTTCAAATTAAATCGAATTATAAAACTATTTCGAATAGAACTACCAAACTAGAATGCTCAAAAAGTGTAGTGCGGTGTTTGGGTAGAGCGAATTTGTCATTGTGCCTAGTGTTGTAGTCAGGAAATAGGATAAAATATAAACTTGTCTCCGTGGTCGCAGACAGTTTGTAGTATATAACATCTAGAAAAAAAATTGACCTGTTTAAACTTTCAAGAGCAATAATTTTCTTTATATTCTATCACAGAATCACTACCAAATATCACTTTTGAATTAGGACAAACTTATGGAGCAGGCACCAGAATGCAATGCCATATGTGACATAAAAAGGGCATAGTAGGCTGTTGGCAGTCGAGATTGGTGTAAAACTGGTTTCAATCTCTTTAGTACAAAACGCAGCAGTCAGTTTTCGCACCAGGAAGGTTATGACTATCAATTCGAAGGCTGTAGTGAAGTTCAATACCCAAAAACCTCTTATCCATAATTTCCAATTGTCCAATCGAAACTTTGAAGAAACAGAGAATTTCTATGCTGCGGGTTCTTGTCTACTGAAGATCCCACATGATGATTTAGATTGATTCAAGACAAGCTTGTTAATAGTAAACCACTGGACCTATCAAATATCTCAACAGTTCGACATAAAGCAGCGTAGAGGGAATGAGCTCGAACCACGAACTTGGAGTTGTGAAGCAATCTGAGGCACTAAAGTTATAAATCAGAAACAATAGTGGGCCTAGTGTGCTCCCTTGAGGCACCCCCTTTCGTTCTTTTTGGGAGCCGATCACGCGGATCCATTGCCAACTAATGCAAAGGCATTAGCTAAGGATTGTAAAGCCCTCTACGCTGTTTTATGTCGAACTGTTGAAATATTTGATAGGGTCAGTGGTTTACTATTAACAAGCTTGCCTTGAATCAATCTAAATCATCATGTGTGATCTTCAGCGAGACAAGAACCCATAGCATAGAAATTCCTGTTTCTTCAAAGTTTCGATTGGACAATTGGACATTATGGTTAAGAGGTTTTTGGGTATTGAACTTTACTACAGCCTTCGAATTGACAGTCGTAACCTTCCTGGTGCGAAAACTGACTGCTGCGTTTACACTACAGATTGAAACCAGTTGTTACAGGAAAGCCTGAAGATATGGGCCAAACAATGTAAGTATTTGACTTTCTACACCATTCACCTCCAACTTACTGACGGGTATATTATGACGAAACTGGTTAAAAGCTTTGAATAAATATTGTTACATCCCAACTGCTAATATATACTAATAACCCTCATTCAAAGAAGAGTGCACATAGTTTGTGAAGTTAAAAATTGATGTACCTTTCAGAAAGCTATATTGGAACTTGGAAAGTGATATACAGGTCCAATAGTTCTTGATAACTTTTCTTATGGATAAAGATAATCAATGCATGCTTAAAACTGTCCGGAAATCCCCTTAAGCGATGGAAATTCATGGAGATGATAAGTGGTATCACCAAATACTCTAGTTTCATTGAACCAAATGAGGACCAAGAGAAGTCTCCAGTGCTGTACATGGTCTCGTGTATGGTTTCCAATCCTTGAGGAACCGAATTGACCGTTTTTCTTTGAACAAACATCACATCACTTCGATCGAAGTCACGATAGCTCAAATGGTAGAGCAGCGGCGTATTTAGCCGAAGGTCGTGGGTTCGAATCCCGCTCGTGACACAAGCTTTTTCATTTAACCAATACCTTACATAAAGAAAAATTAATTGAAAGAAGTTATTTGGTCAATCGGACCACGAAATATAATGGAACGATAATAATTTTCATACAAAGCTTTCTTCTTATTAACTTCTTATCTTATAAACTTCAAGGGTACTTACAAATACTTACGTATGTTAGTAAACATTATTTTTACACCGGCATTACGTCCTATTTTTTAATAATATTTAGGTAGTCGATTCAGGTAGTCGAATTAAGTTGAATGTCGAAGACATTATCCGTCCAAATTGGCATTATCGTTGTGACCCTAGTAAATAAAGGCTGCCAAATCAATGACGGCCTTTATTCATGCCATGGACAGATCATGGTCGAGGATGGGATGTCTGAATTTTCCATTAATTTTCAAAAGTTTCTTTTTTTTGAAGAATCGTTCGAATTTTAAAAACGGTTTGTTTTTATTATTATTAGGCTGTTTTTATTAATTGGCCTGTCAAATTCACAAGGAGATTTTAAAGAAGCATAACAATTTGTTAACACTAACCGTGTCAATTCAAATTTCTTGAAATTATCTGTGCAATCCATTATTTTACAGAGCGTTGCGAGCAAATAGTCACGCCCTTGATAACTGACCTCCTATCGAAATTCCCTTGATCCTTTGATTTTTTTTTCTCCCATCCGATATATAAATGTAAACACATTATTTATATATTTTTTCTATTTAAGAAAAAAAAGTAATTTAAATAGTAAAAACACACGGGACAATAAGGAAGAAGGCTATTTCGGTCGTTGACAACGTAAATAAACCTGTTTTTATTGAAAAGAACAAGGATGTTCGGTCAAATTAAACATTTGTGTGTAATTTCCGTCTCGACTGACTGTTCTTTTCTATTAATGTAACCGTGACAAAACACATCCTGAACATGGTTTATTTTCCATCAAGGCGAAGGCGTTTTGACCTGATGAACAGACCGTACTTTGAGATTTTTCAAAAAATTTTCATCGTTAATTATTGTAGCTTGACACAGAAAAGAGAGAACAATAAAATTTGTTTGTTCGTTGTTTCATTAATTAGAGGCGTTAGAAACAGATATGGTCCATTAACATTCGTCAGATAATAGAACCATATCTTTTATTTCAGTTGTGCCTGTTATCGAATTTTTTTTGTTTTCTTGTTTTAGCGATAAGCAAATAACAGTTTGAGGCTCGTCTTCAATAAAAATAAGACATTCTATATTAAGACGTGACGTTTTTGTCTAAGGCGTGTCAATTATTAACCACAAGAAGACAAATCTTAAAAGAGGAGTATGAAAATGTCCAAGATTTAGGCTTTAAACCTTCATTTTCACTCGAAATGGCTCATCGACCCATTGATTTTTTGTACAAGTGTTGTTTCGCAACAAACAATCTACATAAAATATCTTAGGTCTATCACAGTAATAGTGAATTACAAAAAATATTCTAGGAATAGAGAAAAATCCTCTAACTTAAAATATACAGAGATCGTGAGTTGCGGTCTGGTGTGACGTAGGTTTTAGAAAAACATTTTCTTTATCGTGCCAACGTTTCGATCTTTATTGAGATCATCTTCAGGGCTCAAAGTATTTGTTTTCCGTGTAGATGTGTCATTCTTCAACACGCAAGAATGGCACAATTACACAGAAGACAAAACTTTGAGCCCTGAAGATGATCTCAATAAAGATCGAAACGTTGGTACGATAAAGCAAATGTTTTTCTAAAACCTACGTCACCCCAGACCGCATCTCACCATCTCCGAATAATCATTGACTAACGGTCACTAAACACCGCACATAAAATATACACTTGGCAAGGCCATAAATGATTTTATGTTCAGTAGTTCACTTGCATAAATACTGATTTTGTTATTTGGCCATCGCCGCTAACCGTCAGTTGTTTCATTTTCGTACGTACTTCATTGTTTGTTTCGCTTATGGTCTATAAATAGACTAATTTGAAAGTCTAATTTGAGAAATGGAAGTTTATTTTTATTTTCAATTTGCCGGTGATGAAGGTTCTTAAACAGATTTGTGATCAAAGGAGCGGAATGGTTGCTATGTGCAAAACGATTTCTTCATGAATTCAAGAACAGGTACCAATTCGAAGTCATTAGTTATTAAAATTTAAAATTGTTATGCGTCTTGATGAGCATGAAAAAAGAAATATGAAAAAAGAACAACAGTACTTTAAATTTGCGAACAAATCAACCAAAAAAAAAAATCTATTGTTAAGATTGTTTAGGATATGGAAAAATTTCCATTTCACCTTTTCATCGTTATTTTTGAAAATTAAGAAATGTCAATTGCTTTTTTCTTTTTCTTCCCAACTAAGCATCTATGCTTACAGACGTGTTATAGACTAATAAGCCATAGTTTTCAGCAACAATGCCTACGTGACTGGTATCACGGTTACTTAGTGAGGAAACAACAAAGAAACCACCTTAATGAATAACAATTGTCTTTCATAGAGGGCAGCAAATAGGTCGTTTATTGCAATAAACGTTCGGTTTACCTGGGCAAATGAATTAGAATACCAAATGGGTTTTTTTTGCAAATAAATGAAAAATTTTAGCTGACGAGATAAAACCAAAGCACAAAACGAACAAAGAAAAACACGTCAATTAAATTAGTATACAAACTAATGACTAAGCCCCTCTGATTACTTAAATCAACCAGACCTAAAAAACATTGCACAGGGGTCAGTAACAAGTAAAAAGTCAACTGTGCTTTTTAGCCGACAACACGAATTCAAGTGTATCGAAATACTGGAAGAAACAACGAATAAAAGTAACGTCGATTCATATGGTCTAGAAATTAACCATTAAGCTCCTCCGGTTACCTGAACTAACCGGACATGAAGAAGCATTAAAAAAGGAGGTGGGTCAGTATCCCATAAAAACTTAACGACGCTTTTTAGCAGACCGTTAAGCCCTCCGGTTACCTGAACTAACCGAACATTACAAAAGAATTGGAAAAGGGGGGGGGTTAGTATCGCAAAAAAAAGTGAACTACGCTTTTAGCTGACAACAATCAGAAGTTTCAAAATACATGAATAAACAATGAGTTGAAAATAATTTCGATTTGGATGATTAAAAACTAATCATTAAGACTCTCCTATTATCTGAACCAATCTGGACTTTAAAAAGTATTGAAAAGGGGTCACAATTGTATAAAAAAATTAACGGTACTTTTTTAGCTGACAACATGAAATCACAAGTTTTAAACTGCACGATGAAAATAGAATAGTAAATCTTATCTAAAAAAATTATCATTAAATCCCTCCATTTTCCTGAACCAACCAGGACTTAATAATGTATGGGAAGAGAGGTCAGTATCGTATAAGAAAGCTAACGATGATTTTTAGCAGATAGGATGAAATCATAAGTTTCAAACTACATGATGAACAACGAATAAAAAGATTTGTGATTTAATTGGTCTAGAAACTTATCATTAAGTCCCTCCATTTACGTGAATCAACGAGAATTTAAAAAATTATTTGAACAGGGGTCAGTATCGTACAAAAAAAGCTAACGATGCTTTTAGCTGACAACATGAAATCAGAAGTTTTAAACTGCACGATGAAAATAGAATAAAAAATCTTACCTAAAAAACATCATTAAATCCCTCCATTTACCTGAACCAACCAGGATTTAAAAATTATTTGAACAAGGATCAGTATCGTACAAAAAAGTTAACGACGATTTTTAGCGGACAGGAAGAAATCAGAAGTTTCAAACTACAGGATGAACAACGAATAAAAAATATTTCTTATTTAGTTGGTCTTGAAACTAATCATTAAGTCCCTCCAATTACCTGAACCAATCAGGATTTAAAAAATTATTTGAACAGGAGCCACTATCGTATAAGAAAGTTAATGATGATTTTTAGCAGACATCATGAAATCAGAAGTTTTAAACTACACGATGAATAACGAATAAAAATATTTCTGATTTAATTGGTCTTGAAACTAATCCTTAATCCCCCGGGAACCTGAAACTTCCAAGACTTAAAAAAAGGTTAACGACGCTTTTTAGATGATAACATGCATTCAGTAATTCACACACGATGAAACATAAGTACAGAGAATGTGTTTCCTTATGGTTCAGCTTACAACTTATCATTTATCATCATGACATGTTTGTTTTTCATTTTCAAGTTTCTCTTGCTCAAAATGGGTAGAAAGTGTACCAACGACTTATTCTTTCTTCTACAAACGAAAGATCTTATTTATGGCCTGGAAAAGGGGCCGTGGAATATATTCGACCGATAGGGGGACAAAACGTTGGCGCATTTCATAACTTTTTTTCAAACAATCAAATTAGAAAGAAATTTTCACAATAGCCTTTCGGCTTGTCATCCGAAAATATTCAACCTTTTTTTTTCATTTTAAATTTTTTCTATATAGTTTATTAACGTTTAACACTCGCTTTTATTGCTAATGATCAATGATTATAGCGGGACCGGCGGTGTGAATCACCTCCCCGCGGAAAGAAAAGAAGGAGAGCCCCCTCCAGATGAAGACCTGCGACTCGGAAAGAAAGCTTCATTCCCCCCTCGTTTGTAAACAAGGAAACACGGAAACAAGAGGAGAGCTACTGCACTCAGAAGTCGTATCCAGTCCTCTCCTGAGATCCTCTTTTTATCATCTTTTGACTAGTGAGTTTTCCATTTTTTTTTCTAGGATACAGTCTGATTTCTTCTCTAAAAATAAATCTGATATATCAGATAAATAAATTTATCGACTCTCATCTGAATTGTTGAAAGCCTACTGGTGTAAAAGATTGATTCCAAAATTTAATGTACAAAGTACTTGAATAAATATCACATTTTGGGGTCGTAAACGGCAATAAACTCTCAAAATAAATTGTATAAACATTTACTTAAAAACTTTGATCAAATTACCTAAATATAATACAGGAAGGCCGAGAACAACTTGCCATTAATTAAAAAATACAATTCGTCAAATAATCTGACCATCCATAGATTTTCAACCATGTAATAGTCTATACCAATTTTTCTTAAATTTAATTTATTTACCTCTACAACTGTACATGTATTATATCCAACCAGCAGATTGGATTTCAATTTATGATTGTGACATTACGGGCGTTATAGAGAAAGCTTATTGGCATCCGCTCTGGATTAATAAAAATATATTAATCATTTAAGAGTTCTCTTACCTATATTCTTTTCAGTCGCTTACGTGGTAATGGTGAGGAATGGACAGATCGTATTTGTGTGTTAGTGTGATTTTGTAAATTTACTATGAAAAGTCTGTGATTGGTTTTGATGGATGAAAAAATAAATATTTGAAAAAAACAGTTGGTAGGTGAAGATCCCTGTGAAGTGTGTTATTTTTTACGTAAAAAGAGACAGAAACAATTAGTCTTAAAATTTTGGATTGAAAACTTTGCAATATTTGGCCGATCCATAAGCTTGGAGCCCGTACATCCAAATAGGTTTGAGTGATATGTGAATGTGGAAAGTTTTGATTTTAATGGTAATTTTGATTGTCGGTTGAGTAGGTAATAAAACATTTTAAATAGCTTTTAACTCCGTTTTTTTTAAATCGTGTGCGTGCGTGTCTGCCTGCGTGTGCGCGTGTGTATGTGTGTGTGCGCGCGTGCGTGTGTGGATTCCATGGATTCCATGAGTAGTGGAATGATGGGTTCGAAATACAAAATTAAATAAGGAACTCGCATCTGTTTAAACAGGCGAATAACACATGCATTGGGAATTTTATAACTAAGAATAGTTTTGTAATAATAGTATAATATCTTTAAATTTTATGATAAATGTACATAAGGAAGTTTAGATCAGTAGAGTCATATTTCTTTGATTTTACATCAAATTCAATCACACAATCATTAACGCGCTCATTCATCATCTCACTCGAATTGCACGTTCATTAACACAATTATTCACTCGTTCATTTGTCCACTCATTCACTCATTCACGTCATACTCGCTCCTACAAGTATGATAAATGTATAGTAATTTCAGATCATTTACTAGTTCACTCACACGCTAACCCAGTCATTCATTTGTTTTCAGGCTAACTTTCCCCTCCCTCACGATTTAGTTCATTACCACAATCATTCTCTAAGCCCATTTGCCGACTCATTTATATATTCATTTGGTCACAAACTTTTCTTTCAACCACGATATAATTAATTCAAACAATAACCTCGCCAATTAATTGGCTCATTTAACATTCATTCGTTCACAGACTAACTTTCTTCTCACTTCCGATATTGTACTTGTACACAATCTCTCAGCAGTCCATTTAACGACTCACTCATTTATTCGTTCACAGACTAACCTTCCTGTCACTTATGATATAATGCATGCGCAGATCACTCACTAATCCATTTCGACTCGTTAATTAATTCATTCGTTCACACATTTACATACTTCTCACCCACGGTAAAGTTATTTACAGAATCTTTATTTCATTTGTTGACTCATTCACAAATTCATTTGTTCACTAATGCTATTCACACTCACGCTAATGTCCATTCACACATTGGCTCATTCACCAGTTTATCCACTCATTCACTAATACAATTCGTCCACATAATTCATAATTATTCACCAGCCCACATGCATTCGTTCACAGACAAACCTTTCTTTCACTCATGATATAATTAATTTACACAATAATTATATAATCGTTTATTTGTCCACAGTCTAACTTACTTCTTATTCACACCATCACTTTCAAGCCTATTTGTCGATTTATTCATTCGTTCACAGGCTTACTTTCCCATCACTCACATTATAATATTCTTTCACACGATCTCCTCCCCCATTTGTCGACTAATTCATTGGCTAACTTTCTTTTCACTCGTATATTATTCATTCACACATTCACTCACTTGCCCATTTGTCTACTCAGCCATTCGTTTATTTATTCACAAACTTACTTTCTTCTCACTCACCATAATGTTCAATCACACAATCTCACTAGCTCGTTTGTTCCCTCACTCAATCATTTACTCCCAGACTAACGTTTTTCTCATTTACGGTACAATTATTTCCCAGATTGATTCACTCGTCCATTTGTCGACACATTCGCTCATTTATTCTTTCACTAGACTAACTTTCTTCTAACTCACGATCATTCACACGATCACCTCGCCCATTTATCGACTCGTTCACACATTCATTCACTAGCCCATTGGTCGACTCATTCACTTCAACTTTGTTTTCACTTACGGTATAGTTTATTCGCACACCCACTAACACAATCATTCACAGATAAACTAGCGAATCCTTTAAGGCTTAATTCAGTTATTAATTTATCCGCTCACAGACTGTCATGATTTCCAACTTGTTAAATCTGTCATTCATTTTTTAATTTATTTGTTCATTGGTTTATTTTGTTATTAATTATTTGTTACTGCGCTCACCAAATCACACAAAACAAACAAATGTGAAAGGTTAGCGTTGTTGGATTCTTTACTTTCACTCAAAATCTATCGTAGCCAACTTTAAGACAAAGAAAATATTGGTAATTAGATAACAATGAGTATGTAATTGTAAAAAAATCTCTCTTTAGTAAAATTTCAAAACATACTAGGAAAAGTATACTTCTGACTTGTCTGCGAATGTTCTTTACCACGGTATTCTTTTTTTTTTTTTTTGTACTAGCGAAAGTAGAATTTATAATTTTCAATGAAAGCTACAGTGTAGTAACAATTTTAGCCAATTAAACCTAATAATGTTTCGTATCGTATTTCCCTTTTCATGGCTAAACATTTTGTTTATTGCACGGTTTATTACTTCGCAGTTCGTACCCCGGTTCTTTTGAAAGTATGACATTGACCGTGAAATGATCATAGATGATGACAACACCTCTGAAAGGACGCTCGTATTTTTGAGGACTTGTTCGTACTCAATGTATTTAATTCTCAATGGACATTTCCTTTTCTCGGCGGACAAATTTGTGCACACTATTGTGCCTAATCTTTTCAGATTGCAACATCTATTATTACTTAATATGACCTTTGAATAATCGTTTTAAAATTCGAGTTATCAATATTTCGAAAATTATTCTCATAATTTAGAAAAATAATTCAAATACTGCATGCAGCTTGTTTTAGCTATATTAAAACAATTTGTCCCCAAGTTTCCTCGTTGTCTATGTCATAATAGATCAATAATTCGCTAGATCTTAAAGATGTTTTGAATTGTCAGACAATATCGTAGATTGTTTAGGGAAGTATCAAGCCGAAGGCCGTTAAGTGCATTGTCGCTAAGACCAAGGACTTTCTGCAAGTTGACAATAGTGGCAGACTGCCCATTGACGTCAAGCAACAAAAACAAAAATTGCAATGTTTTGTTTTATTTTTAGCTCGAATGACTTGATCATTATTAATCAAAAGCATATTGTAACAATTAACAACTGATCGAGCCATAAATCACGAGACATCACTTCCAAGCTTTATTCAGAATTTAATTTTAATTTCAAAACTAGTACTAAAATAGCTTCAGTTTTGCTTGTTTTGCTTTAGTTTTCTAAACTATTTTACGAACAATTAAAGAACCAATTATAACTAGTTTCTTTTCATGCTTTCTTTTAAATTCATTTTTGACGTCTCGAACTATGAATTAAGGGTAATTTCTTTTAGAAACTGACATGCCAAATCAACAAGGAAGAACAGTCCAATTAGGCTCAGTTGATTAAAAGACGCTAACGACATCCGACATCGTTAAAATATCGAGCTTTCTTCTCTTTTGACAAACTGAAATGTCCCTTAAAAACAAAACTAAAAGAGGGTAGAAAATATTCCATGTGCCGAGTTAATCAGCATTGTAATTTTTTTATTTATCAAATCGTTATCGCCCTTCAGTGGATGAACCGCTTTTAATCATTTATTAATAAACTATACAAGATTCAATGTGTTGTTGGTCTTATATGCATACTCCTTAGAGAGAAAATTATTTGGCCTGTTTTTTTTAAATTCCTGATATAATGCAGGGGGTATGATTGAATGTATCTGTATGTATGTTACATTGTCATTATTCCTAGTGTCAACTTAATAAATGCTGGTGTAAACTATCAAGATAAGCATCAAGACCCCTCTTGTACTTCAGATCCACTCTGGACTCCGAACTAGGAACATTCTTCAATAGAAATCTTGTAAAAGTTTGTAAGTTTATATTTAAAAAAATGTTACTTAAAAATTTAGTTTCTCTTCTTAGTTTTCGGTAGGACGACTGCGGAGAAGATTAGGGGTTGTAATTTTCTTCAATTTAATTGTTTACCGCAAGGACCCGTCGATCGAAGAGTACACAGGAATTCACATGGAATTCATCATAGTACTGTGAATGGATTAAAAACTTCTATAAATTTTAGCGTTACATTACAACCAACAAAATAGGTCTTATAAAAAATTTAAGAAAACAGTTTTTTGTAAATTTGAAGTTAAAAAAGGACAACTTTACATTGCCCTCCTGGCCCCCATTTGGACATACCGACTTGAACTTTACGGGACTGCTAAGCGTTCCAACCTCAGTCGAATCCAATCCGTTCAATCCAAAATCCTCAGAACAATAGTCAACGCCCCTTTCTGTGTCCATTCACACCATCCATACCGATCTAAATGTCCCTCTTGTTACCAAGCTAGCCCAATCCTGCTACAAAACGTTCCATTCTAAACTACCCCATCATCCGAACCCTTTCGTCAAAAACCTGTCATCCGCCTCATTACCTAATAATCCCAATAGAAGACTGAAGCGTGGTGGCCCCGCGACAACCTTAACACATCGGTCTCCTAGGTCCATCTCGCTCATCATCATTGATGTACTAACAGCTACCATCCAGTGATGGTAGCAGTTCAAGCTTTCATGCTACTATTATTACAAATTTATTACTATTATTTATGTAAATATCTATATATAATAGTTGAAAAATCTTGTAAAATTAAACAAGTACATAAGTTATAAGAATTTAATAAAATCATGAATCCCCCGTCTCCAGACACGTTAAAAAGCGAGTATCTTAAGACGATACCTACTTTTAAGGGCGAACCTGTTAGCAAGGTTCATTGGTATTTGTCAAAAAATTTATTGACAAATTTTACATAGTTACAAATCCGGGAGATTTTCAAAATGAGTATTTAATGGCAAGTATTCGAAAATTCAGGGACCGGCGGCGGAAATAGTCTTTAACTCAGGCGCAAGTAGTTTGCCGGAAATAAAAATGCACTATTAACCAATTACTCGGACAAAAGGGACATTTACACCCTAGTCCATGAACTTTTAGTTATGTAGTCAACCAAGTAGACCATAGCATTTTTGGTTCCCCTTAGCACGTAATTCATTTTTAAAAAGTCGAAGGCGCATTTTTTAAAACTAAATGGAAGTTTCTAGACTCAAAATGACCATCCTCCGTATTAAAGGTGGTTTTTGAAACACTGGATTCGTCCAGTTCTATTTGATGAAAACCGGAGGCCAAGTCGATTGCAGTGAAATATTCGCATTTCCCCAACATGTCCAGTAAGTCACTGATATTAGGTATTGGGAACTTATCGTCAATAGTTTTTTCATTAAGCTTCCTGTAATCAATGATGAGGCAAAATTTCCTTTTTCCGGTTGCGCCGAGTTTTTCAGGAGCTATCCAGATGGAAGAGTTCAGGGCTGAATGATTTTTAGTTCGAGCATATTCTGAATTTTATTTTGTAGTTCTTGTCTCTAAATTTGTGGATAGGATCTCGTATAAGTAGGTATTTCATCTTTGGTATTATGTGCTTTATTTTGTTTGTAAAGGTTGACCGTCCGTGAAAAATGTCGGCATAATTTTTTATTAAATGAAGTATTGCATTCTTTTTTTCATTCTTGTGAGCAGTTCTATTGCATTATCATTTATATCAAGACCAATTAATAGAAATTGACTTCTTTATCGGGCTGTATCCCTTCAAAAATTTTCGAAGGGCACCACGTTTTCTACGTTGAATGGTATTTTTATTTCTGCGATAACCCGTTCGTGATTTTCGTTGGAGATGCCCACTGCTCATGATTTTTTTACCTTTATCAAGCAATCGGGAATATTTGTTCCCAGTAAAGATTGACATGATAGAACGGCCTCGCCTTCACAAATATTATCAACTTTTATTTTAATAATACTTTCCGAGCGCTGGAATGTGAAGAGGTGCATTGGATCCAATCTACATATTTCGTCAGTACGCGATAATTTTTATTCGCTACTGGTATCTCATCCTTATTAAAATCTAATTTAATGTTTAATATTTTCATGCAATCTAATCCGAACAGTTGTCGAATTTATTTGCAAGTTGAATAAGAATAATTCTAACGTCAAGAATTTTCTTTTAAAAATTTCTGTGATGATGCTATGGTTGCCTTTACTAATTCCATGAACCGTTTTTACTTCGAACGGTTTTTTTTATTAATGGAGTATTAAAATGATCCTTAGAAAATTTAGGATGAACGACCTGACCTGGTGCTACCCGTATCTATTAAAATTGTTTTTTTTTTATCTAGCCGATTCTTGCCCTTTGAGATTTACTCCTAAAAAATGATGTGTGTTTTTCTGATTTTAGAGGGTTGAGTGTATATTTTGCGAGTAATAATTTTGTGGACTTGTTTGATTCAGGGGACTTATTTTGCTCCTCATTCATCGTTATTTGCGGTGCGAGTTTTTTGTAATGTGTGGTGTTCCTTGTTGAAACCCAACACACATTTTTTGTACACCTTAATGAATTAAGGTGTACAAAATTCTGTCCTGGGTAATGTTTTTGTGATGGCGAAAGACAAGTAGTTAAAAACTATCAATTTTTTATGAATTGTTAATAAATGTTGTACAAGATTTACAAAACTCCCTAATATTTTGCAAACTAGAAAAACTTCACCCCAGTATTATCTCTTCTCAAGAATTACAATACAATACAATACACAATACTTTATTAGAATTGATACAAACAAAAAAATAGAAATACTGATACAAAGTATAATAAGCATGGCTAATAGCCGTCTGCTGAGTTTACTGCATAAAAGCTTACAAATACAGAAATGTTAAAACAAAAAAATTCGAAGAGAAAATTGACATATAGCAGGTGTATGAATCATAATAGATGGAAATATGAGAAAAAAAGAACAAAACAAAAAGAATTAAATAAGAACAAATTACCTTTTGGGAACTGATAGAGTACTAAAAAACAAAGCAGTAAAAGTAAAAGTATATGTACAGGGACGACAATTATTGCATATCTGAAAGCCACTCGTATCACACTCTCCAGGTGTGCCGAGCAAAGGAAATTAGCGGTAAAGGGGATACTTGGTTAGAAAGATATTCCAGTATTTCAACTCTGGAGATGACTGTCTTACCCAAGTAAGATAACCGCAATTCTGAGAGAAGAGAGCAGACTCCCAAAAAGAGATATGAATCTTCCCTGGCATGGCTGTTACAAAGTGGATAAGTTTCATCTTGAGGATCATTCAAAACCCAGGGTTTGAATTTCAAATATAACAAATCTCCTCTTAGTTTGAATAGCCAGCAAGAATCTCTAATATTAAGCCTGGGAAAGGCTCGGTTTATATGACAGTAGGTGTTCATTGAAAAGTTCCATATACAGGAAGAACCAGTGTTTTGCCAGGGGCATGAGTATTTCTGGGCTAGATAAGCCCATTGATTATACTAGGAGATATTCTTTCTAATTATCTGTAGAGTGATTATTTTAGGCAGTCGATCATCTGGGAGGCTCAGTATCTTTGACATATATTTTAGGTAGAGGGAAAAGGTATACGGGAATAGAGGAGGCAAACAGGATTCTAGCGTTAGCATGTAATTTGGGGAGAAAGATGGTAAGTTGAAAAGTTTTTTAACAAAAACACGTTGAAATTTTTCCACAACCTCGTAGGACTGGCAACCCCATACTTAAGCGCCGTAACATACCACTATGCGCAGGACACTGTTATAAACTTTTAGTTTGGTTTCATAAGGTACAAGCTTGTTGCAAAAGAGATTTACCCAGACACAGTTTAAACCTGTTTTGCAGCCGAAATTCTTGCTTCAAAATGGTGAGATAGGGAAAGACGCGGAGTAAAAATAACACCCAGGTATTTGTACATATGCACTACTTGGATTTAGAAAACCATTTTTCAGAGGCTGCCGGTTTACCCCCATTGTGGAAGATCATAATTTTTGACTTTTTTAAATTTACAGATAAGTTCCAAAGATCACAAAAGGACTCAAAGATTCGAATATTATATTGCAAACTAGCTGGACTCTCAGCAATTAGGACTATACCATCCGCATATAATAATATTTTTATTTTGGTATTACCAACAAGAATTCCTCCTTCTAGTAGGTTAACAATATCGTCCACAAAAAGGGCAAATAACATGGGGCTAAGCACACACCCATGTCTTACTCCAGTCCCTATTCTGAAGTATTTAGAAATTCCTTCTGAGGTCCGAACTGCTGAGGCTCCCGAGGCATAAAAGCATTTAAGTATATCCACAAATTTAGATGATATACCCATATTTAAGAGCTTTAGAAATAAGGATGAATGATTGACTGAGTCAAAAGCTGCCTTTAAGTCTATGAAAAAACAATACACTTTCCTTCGCTTTTCTGATCTTCTCAAGAATTATTGACTGAAATCAAAGAAATTGCTAGGCTACCCTTAGAAGCAAAATTAGAAAACATATTAGAATTCGAAGATCTATTAAAGGTTAAGATTCATTATGAACAATTGGTATTCTTATTGTGCTTGCCATTGGTTATTTATAACGATTATAATCTTTACAAACTAGTGGGAGTGTACACAGGACCTGAAAGTGAAGAAATCATATAAGTAGGGATGGGAATGGGAAATCATCAAAGAATATATTGCCTGTGTTAGGAAGGGTACTACTGTAAGTCCCGTGTGACTACAATGTGCAAAACAGTTCATTAGACCTTTAATCTAATCTTCAAACTCTCTAGAGCAGCTCCTGAATCATCACAACCTTATCAAAGAGGGAAAATAAGGGAGAAAACTAGGTGTATACACATATTAAATGGGAGAAAATGGCTGGAACAAGGGAATTAATGTAGGGTGGAAAAGCAGCAATGGGAAATCTGGGAGATATGAAACTAGGACAAAATATGATCAAGGATTGTCTTAAGCTTCTTAAATTCTTGCTTTGAAATGCCCATCAAATAAAAAAATATTAGATATTCATTAATCAAAAATTACTTTGTTTAACCAAGGGAATATACATTTTTTAAAGTTTATGTGATAAAATTGTTACAACACCAAACACTAAGACATATACATGCAAATAGACATTCTCTGACACAATAATATATTATTTTCTCCTGGGTGTAAAAGTTGTCTATTTCATTGCTGTGATTTGGTACACTCAGAATTTCAATTACAAAACAAGCAAAGTAAAAGTAATTTTTCATAAAGTCTGCGTATTCTTTTGGTTTACAGGAATCACTAAAACGTTTAATTTTCTTTGTTACAGGTGTGCCAACATGGCATCGTATTTGTGGCTTATAATCTTGGTTTCTTTGGCTGAAACTCATGGATCGATTTTGCACCGTAATTAATTTTCTGCTTTTATCCTGCCAAATTTTGTTTTTTATTTTGTATTTATTTTTGTTATTAAGGGTCTGTTGTTAATGTTCATATTAAAAAAACCTATTCAATGATTGAGGATATGGTAAATAAGAGTAAGACTCTTGAAAACAATATAATGAATGCTGCTGTGAAGATGGCGTATAACATGAATGGAGGTCCGACTGAAAGAGTCATGTCGTTCTGGGCAGACGATACAGCCTTGGAAAAAGCCAAAGTTGCTTTTCTTCTAGCCAAATCTACCTCTTCCATTTTAACTCAATGTAAAATGTAAATTGATTTAGCTTATACTACAGTTAAAACAAAAATATTTGATGTTTTTGTCCTTTATTTTAGCTCAGGGATAAATAATGAACGCTGCTTGAATGACATGATTAGTGTTAGAGCATTTACAGAAAAATTGGTGGAGTGCGATGAAGAAAAGTACAGACGGCCATCTGGTGAATGCAATAACAAAGACCACCCGGCTTTGGGATCAGCTTATTCCCCATATTCTCGGATTTTAAAATCATCTTTCTATCAAGATGGTAAGTTTATTGAAAAGATTATACTGTAAGAATATTATATATAAAATAATATTCAAAATGAATTTTCAGAGGTTTGGTGGTCACATTTTGAAAATAATAAAATTTATCCAAGCCCACTGAATATGAGTGCCAGCTTGTTAGATATAATGGAGTCTGATCTGCCAGACATAACTTTCGGCTTTAGCGCTTGGTCTAAACTAGTTTCACATGATCTAGGCCACACCGGGTCTTATAGAGCATGTAAGTAATTAAAATTCTTAATATAAAAAAGTAAAACAATAGTTCTAACAGTCTTTGTTAACAAACAACAAAAATTGTTAACAGTCTTTACAAAGGAAAATATCAAGTGCTGTCACAACGAAAACAGGATTCTCCCTCGTTATAGACACCCTTTTTGCTTCTACATGGGAGGACGGGATGACACTTGTGTATCATACGCTAGATCAATGCTGGCAGTACCCTTGGAAAACCAATTTGGCTCGGCTGAACAAATGAACACAGTGAGCCAATTTTTAGATGCTTCGGTGGTGTACGGAAGCAGTGAAAATGTTGAAAATGCTCTGAGAGCCCATGAAGGCGGTCTTCTTAAAGAATCATCAACTGAGTATAATGAGCATTTAAATTGTGTTGAAAAAAACAAATGCTTCTTGACAGGTATTAACTTAATAAACAAATAAAATTCAAATTTTAATAAATTTAGTTTTTTTTTAAAGTGAAAAATATATTTACAGGTGATTTGAGAAATTTATTGGATCCTTCTAGTGCAATTGGCAATGTGATGCTTGTTAAAGAGCATAATCGAATTGCTAGAGTTTTGAGTGAATTGAACCCTTTTTGGGATGATGAAAAACTATTTTTAGAAGCGAAAAGAGTTCTAATTGCTGAAGTTCAACACATAACGTACAATGAATGGCTTCCATTGGTACTAGGTACTTTCCACAATTGTTTAAATTAAAATTATAATTAAAAAAATATCTGAATATCAATTTTCATTTTGTTTACAAGAGAAGACCTAGTAAGATAATTTTTTAGTCGACTTGCCCATTAAAACATAACACTGAATGTCTTAATACAATAAATTTATCACATTTCAAATTTGTGTTTAGGAAAAAAGAAATATGCTCATGAAAATATTCATTTTATAACTTCAACTGGTTTTGTGGGATTGTATCAGCCTTATACTAACCCATCAGTTTCTAATGAGTTTGCTAATGCAGCCATCAAGCCTCTCACTTGGCTAAATGAAATTTACTTAAGGTAACATAATTTGTAATATTTCAACTAATTGTTTAAAAAAAAATATCGCTTGATTTCAGAGCTTATAATAAACAGAGAGCTATGAAACATAAAAGGCCACTCCGTCATACCGTTGTCAACATGAAACGATTACAAAATGACACACTTCTCCGAGGGTTGGGCAAGGGCCTTACTCTGAAGATTAATGAAATCCCATTTATGTTTTCCGATAAGGTACATAATTGATTTGGCCAAATAAGTATATTTTCTTAAAACTGTAGTCCTTTTAGATGATTGGCGTTTTCTTCAGCGAAGACACTAGCAATGAACAGGAAAGAAGTTTAGCCCTTGAAATTCACCGTGGACGGGATCACGGGTTGCTTCCATTCCCTGAGTACGGCGATTATTTACACTTAGAACAACGTATTTCTCCAAAAGTATGTTCTTTTATTATATTCAAATTGGTAAATATTTAAATTGTGCATTAATAAAATTAGAATTAATTTTTTTCCCATAGAATCTGGAAATAATCAATAAACACTACAGAAATAAAAATGATATCGACCTTCTTGTTGGAGGAATATTGGAGGAAAAGACTAAAAAGTCTATGGTAGGAAGTACATTTCATGAAATAATTTTGCGGCAGATGATTGCCACGAGGACAGGTGACAGATTCTTTTATGACAATCCTGATCAACCACACCCTTTTAACCATGGTAAGTAACACTTTTTTTTTTTTTAATCAGCATAATTTTAATTAATTTTTTTCCCAGAACAACTCGATGAAATTCAAAAGGCTACTTTCGCTAGACTCATATGTGATAACTTTGAAATTAACAAAATCCAGCTGTCTGCTTTCCTCCCAAGCAGTAAAAGGTAATCAATTTCTTATTTAAAGCTTCTTTGTTTTAATTATTAATCTCGTTTCATAGGAACCCACTAGTCTTATGCAGTAATGAAGATAAACTGAAAATTGTCAACTTGAAATATTGGCAAGAATAAAAATGTTCTGACTCATTTGTATATAATTGATATATAATGAAATTTGTACCTGTATTAAAATTGTATTTATTGTCGAATGACGTCATTTTATATTATTGTTAGGAGTAATTTTTTTGTAATGAAATACATTTTAAAAATGTTTTTTACGTTATTGTCATTGTTCCTATTTGTACTAAATATTTTATAATTCATTAAAGAATAATAAAATATAATAAGGCAAATTTGACTAATTATTGACATTAGCCTCCACCAGTAATGTATGGCTTATTGTAAGTACTACAACGTTTAGTAGTATATATTAGTTATGGGCCGACAAACAACTACTGATTATTGCCACCCCTCAGCACACAAAACAGAAAGTTCTGAGGGATTTTTTTACTCATATTTTTATTGTTTTCTTAACTTGCTAAGCTCTTGTATTTTTTTCAGGTTGTCATATTAATAAAAGAACAAGAAGACGCAAAAATAAAGATTTTCGCATTCCCCCTCACTCTGAAAATAGCAGAATGTGTCAAGGGTCCCCACTAAAACTTTTATAATAATCAATCATTTTAAAGTTTATTCTCTTTGACAAGTAATAAAAGGTTTAATGAAACAGGACTTCAAAAGTTCAAAAAATATATTTTTAAATTTTGACTTTTCTAGAGTAATTTTGCATGTTTGCTATATTCAAAACATTTGGTCCCTCTTTAATGAGAATTTCAGTTCATAGTCAGTTTTACTAAAACCAGATTTAGCTAAAGAATTTTATAACATACAATAAATATTTTCAACTATACACGAAAGTTATTTTATGTAGGAAGCTAAAATAGTTTACACTAATACAATTCACATGAGTGAACGTTATGTTTCAACCGTCTCTTCCGTTTCATCTAGTATGTTGAGTAGAGAAAACGGTTGAAATGGATAGCCCAACCCTGTGTAAAATTTGCTCATAAACTCCACCCTGAAAAATGATAATGTAGATGTTAAAGAGATACTAATAATAGATAATAATATAATAAATAAAGTATTTCTATTCACCAATGAAGACGGAGTGTGTGAAGGAAAGCCGATAGACCTTCCATCAACACGAGGATGGAAACAGTGAGACAGGCCCAAGCGGCGAATATTGCGTATAAGAATATGCTGCCAACATAGGAGTCTTGCTGTAGACCTTTCTGCAATACCATGTTCCACAACACCTCTGACAGTTCTGTCAAAATAAATTAAATTAAAAAATTAATGCAACAATTAAAAATAGATTTATGTTAAAATTGTACTTACGTGCATGAGCGAGTGAGAGGGCCCACAAACGCAAGTAAGATGCCGTGTGAGACACTGTACTTAGAACGTACTCGATGGTGTGAATTATCTGGTGGATGAATATCTCGGTTGCTGATTCATTCTCGCCATGTTCTCCCTCCTTGACGGCAGGAGTTTCAGACATTCCAGCTGTGCCGTTTAACACCTGCATGTCAATCATGCTTTGCGTACCGTTTAATTCCTGTTGGCAAAATGTAATTATCAAATAAAAGTCATTTGTTGACAATGGAAATTGTACGAATTTACCACTTTTTCCTCCTTTTTATGTCTTTTAATGACAAGCAAGTAAAATGGCTTGCCCAGAAGCATTACTGGTATGCATGCCAGAGCGAGAAAAAGTATTACTTTTTGAATTGTGTCCTAAGAAAGAAAAAAAAACGGTAATTAAAATAATGTTTTATTAACAAGAAAAAGTGTGAAAAAATTACATACTTGATTGTCGTACATCCACAGATCACATTTATCGGGATAAGCCTTGTCTTTATCTTTATCTTCTGGCTGTTTTAACAGCATCATATTTATGAACATGATCAGTACTGATGGTGCACATCTTTCACTTTGTTTAAGGGCTAAAATTTCAAAATTTCTCAAATTACTTTATCACATTTTTTCTTGAAATGTGACATTTTATTATCATATTTTATTTTTATTAATAAATTCAACTTGTGAATAAATAACTTTCAGCTAATTAATTTTTGGAAGGATTGTTTAGGGATGCCAGGGATGTTTAAGATCAGCTAGGGTTGACTACAACTAGGCATGACTTACGATTATTTGCAGAGTATAAGAAAAACTTCATAAATATCATTATGACCATATAGAAAAATAGTAATACCAAGAAAAGAACTTGAGGGAGAAACTCTAATAATATATTAACTGCTTCTCGTCTATGTCTGAAACAGAGTGAAAATGATGAACAATAACAATAAATGAATATATATGAAATAATTAAAATTTAACTATTTTTTTGAATTTTTGTTTAAAGTTTTAAATTTAAAAACAATTTAACTTATGATTTTTCCTTCTCGAAGGTGGGATAATAGGTCATTTCAAAAAAACAACCAGTTTTTCTTTCAATCCACAACGTTTCGGATTTATTTTAATCCTTCCTCAGGTGAGTTTACACCTATACACAGAACAAATATTTCTTACATTTTTAGACCAACATGGTTATCATTATTTCTTCACTACTTACAGTCACTGACATGTATGATTTAGACATGTTGGTCTAAAAATGTAAGAAATATTTGTTCTGTGTATAGGTGTAAACTCACCTGAGGAAGGATTAAAATAAATTCGAAACGTGGATTGAAAGAAAAACTGGTTGTTGTTTTTTTAAAAACAATTCTTGCTCGATTTTATACTTGCATAAAATAAATGTTTTGACAAATGAGAATACAAATTAAAAAGCAGAGGAATTATCATTTAACAATCAAATTTTATATTGAAGCACCTTACAAGTGATTAGCTACACTCAGACAGACTCCGAATATCATGTGTATCACTCCAAGAATGATCGAAAGCTTCATTTTGTAAGTGTTCAAGAAAATAATTTTGTTATCTGCAAGCTGAAAAAGAAAGATTTTTTTAAATGTTAACTGTGTATTCTGTTTTATAACTGACTTTTAATCATAGGGAAATACCTGCCAGACAGGATCCACACCAAAGGGGTATGGGACATTGGTGAAATCCTCTTTTGCTGGACTCAGCTGTAGGTACGAATTTGAAGTTATAGTCGAGACGTTGTAATTAACCTTCCATGAAGATCCGAAGATGTTCAAAGAACGTGAAAACATATCATTGTATATAATGCCCGTGTAAACGGAAAACAAGCCCATGAGAAGTATAATATACCGACCGCCGAAAAATATATTCCAAATCTGAAAATTTACACAAAGTTAAATTTTAAAAACCATTTTACAATAAGCAAACATTACCTCATTTGTAGACTTCTTTTTCATTAGTGATTCTTCATATAAAACCATCCAGATTGCAAAGATAGAAAGTAGAAGACCATGTCCCAGGTCGCCAAACATGACACCGAACAAAAATGGGAATGTGATGATTGTGTAAAGTGCTAAAATCATCATTCATTGTTAAACTGAACATTCAAATCATGCGCAAACCAACACTGTACCTGGATTGACTTCTCTGTACGAAGCTACACCGTAATTATCTATCAAAATTTGGAACCCCTTCGTAAATTTATTTGTCCTATTGAATGTTGGAGGGTCTTCTGCTGTTTGAATAACGTTTAAAAACGATGGCATTGTACTTCCGACCAAAGCCTAAGACATGTAACTGTTTTCACATAAATACAATTTTGAAATTATAATGTAACGCATTACCCCTCCGTCGTTGAGAGCATCAGTTAGTGAACCAAGCTCTTTGCTCGGAACCCAACATTCTCCGATCAAGCACTTCTTGGTGACGTCCATGTTGAACATGTTCATAGTGTGGTAAATGGCTTTCATCTTCTTAACCATTACAGTCCAGGCAGTAAGTTCCCTTGCTACAGTAACAAGCACCCTTTGCCTGTGGTCATCCGTTTGATTCAGAACCTTTAAATACAAAAATAAACCATGAAATATTTTCAAAGATTTTTTTATGTTTTTCTTTATATTCACCAAGTTCAAATCTTCGAGACGTGTCTTGACTTCTTGAACCATGGTGTTACGCTCCGACAAAGTGCATGGGCAAGGATATAGTGTTGCATGAAAACCAGCACAGACTTTTTTCACACGCGATTTTAACTGTTCTCCTTGGTAAAAGGCAACAAATACTGTTTTAGAAAGCAAGTTTCCCTGAAATAATAGGAAAAATAGAATTATTCTATATAGCAAAATACAAAAATTAATTGTACATTAAGAATAAAATTTGCAGTTTGGTCAGACTATCCTTCAGAATGAAAAAATTACAGGTTCACCCTGCAATCTCCATGAAGAAATCTTAGAAAAATCAAAATAATAAAACACAAAGATTTATTCTCGAAGAAAAGAAAGTACAACTTAAAAAAATATAACATACAAAATTTTAATTCCTCTCTCTCTATCACACTACTACTACTACTTCTTCTACTATCACATAGAAGGCCTATGCCTCATCGTATAAAACTTTAATTCAAGAAACACGAAAATTTGTAAAAATATAAATTCACTTAAAACTCTTTTAATTCCCTTGTTAGAAGTAAGTTAGTGTATTGCAGTTCGATTTTGTTTCCCTATACTGGTACAAATATTAATCAAATTGAAAAGGTTTAGATAAATTCCTAAGGATATTAAGCTATAGGGCCCACATTGACCTATCCACTCTATCTCCCTCTACTTCATCCTCCTCTCATATTAGGCAACCGTTTCAAATTAGGTCACTTTCATCCCATAGAGAACAAATAAATCTTTTTTTCTCCATAAAATCCTCTATACTGTCCAGACCTCCTTCATTCTATCGCCTTCGGTGTCCCAAATTATACCACTAGATCCTGCCAAACGTTCAACATTCCTTTACTAAAAGCTGATTTTCTCAAGTTCACTGGAACTAACAGAATATTGAAAGATGCCACTAATTCACAAATAGATTTTTTCAACTGCTCAATCTCTTTATTAAGACAATCTTTCGAGAAATCTATCCAAAACTAATAGCCAGCAACTCTTTTCTTTTTTGTATTTTTTCTTTATTTGAAAATTATTTTTTAGTATTTCCTCTTAAGGAATATTATTCTCCATTATATTTTTACTTAGGTATGTAACATAAAATATATTTTTTCACATTTCATATTAACATAACATTTTTGTTTGTTTTCTAAATTTTACATATTTCTATTCCCTACTATATTATATTTAATTTAGTTTTCAATAATGTTAAGTTTAACCTGTTTTCATTTTCATTAATAATATATTTGCAATTGTAATTTGATTAGTTTTTCAATATTTTTAGTCTAATATGTTAATATTATTAAGAAAACTTGTGTATAATTTAATTTCAATCTATGTATATTTTTACTATTGTTTTATTTTTTCTTATAAATATTAAATAGGCTGTGCCCTTATGTCAAATAAATAAATAAAATAAAGAAATGCTCCAGATTAACTAAAAGTAACATTTCTGGACTTTTTTAGAAAGCGACTTGCAACTGAATTTCTTACATTGTACTATTTCTTCCTGTAAATAGATACTATTACTACAATAACAGATTTATTAGATGTAGTTATTTATTGTTATAGCATTAAAAAAATATGAATCTGAAATATGTAAGTTAAAATTTAGACAATATGCCAGTGAGAACATAATAATCAATGGTAATGTGATATTAATATTTCAATAATAAGAAATACAATGATGTTATGTGGCTTACTGTAGAAGGGTCGAGCAAAGGTTCTTCGATATCCGCTCTTCTCAAGAATACATTCCCTCTTGAGATTCTCCACAGCATTCTCTCAAAACTGAACACCCTTTCCCTCGGCACGACACCGGCTACAAACCTGTTGAGAACGAATTGAAATTAAAAGTTCAATTGTTGAAATATGATTGTTGTTCAGCGTACTGACCCTAATTGTGTTCTGTTTCCTTGGTCATCGCCAATTAGGGCCCGACTTGCATTATCGCCTTCTTGCTGTTGGAAACAAACACTCTGGAGAAAAAGAACCAATCGGAAAAAACAAACACACAAAAGCAAGACAAAGACGAATGCATATTACAGCTGTGAAAACAACACAAAGCAAAACATTGTGCAATTAAATTGTAGTGCGTTTCAAATCAATTTTTAATATTTTAATAATTGCAGGTTCAAAAAATTTTTTTAGAAAAATAGTGATGGTGTTTTACAATATGTAGGATTGTTAAATGAATTAAAATTAAATGAAATAAAATGTACCCAATGAATCACTTACTTCCAAAAAACTCAAATCCACCTCAAGCTCAGTTCAAAACAAAGTTATTTTTTGTATTAGTCTAACGATTCAGTTTTAAAAAATCATCAAACAATGTTTATACAATTGGCAGACAAGAATAATAAACACAACTACTAAAAATACTTACCTCTTGGAAAAATGCGTCAGTTTTCTGTAGAACGTGCTTAAGTTCACTAAGTTCCATGAAGTTAGACTTAAGATTGACAGCATTGTTGCTTAGCTCCTGGATTTCAGTTTCAGTCCTCTCTACTTGAGCCTATTATAATTTTTTTTGCAAAATAAAGTTTTTATACATCTGTTATATGGGACATAAGTTCACAACCATTTTAAATAAGCCAACAAAAGTCTTACAAATGTCAACTTAATTTTTAAATAACCAATTTTTGTATATATCATCAAGTTTCAGGATGTTTACATATTATTTTAATGAATCAACTGAATTTTAGTTTATTTATGATTTTAGGTTTGATTGATTATTAGAATTGTTGCGTTCACCTCTAAATCAATAATTTCCCTTGGATTGGGAGCAGTAGGCATGGTCATGATGTCTGGGATGGGGACGCCATCTTTCTTCACTTCGGTGCCTATGTAGCGAAGTTTCCTCTCGATCTCTTCGCACCTCCTAACTTCAGAGACAAATTTCCTCTGGAACGCGCTCACTTCTCCGTTCAACTGGATGAACAAATATTAGTTGAATTTATAATTAAGAATCGGTGAAAGATGATACTTGTTGGCTTACATCTCTAAACTGCACTATGCCCTTTTCACCGAGCAGAGACACTGAGGCGTATGCTGCTTCCGGCTGTATAAACAGCTGGCACAGCGCCATTTCCTCGCTCCGGAAGAAGTCCCCCATCTTTCAGTTCTGCATAAATAAAAATGGTTAATCAGTTGCTATATAAAGAAATAAACAATTTATAAATTGTATAATGGTTTACAAGGTGATGGTTCTGCCATTATCCTGGACTGCTCACCCTTTGGTGATTTTGTCTTGTATTTCAGAATTTTTCCATTTTCAGAGGTTGGTCTGTGAGTTATTTTGTCAGTTGTGTCCTTTTATAACTGACTTGGTATACTTTATTAAATTAAAGTTATTAAGTGCTGGTACCAATTCTGAAGATAGTAAAATGAAAGTTTTTTCTGACACACAAAACAAGGAAAAAATAGACTGATCAGGATGATCATAGATAAAACACAAAAATACTATCGATTATATAATATGTTTAAATATAATTTTAAACAAAAATGAGCCTTTTGTTAAAATATACTTAGAACCATCATAAAATAGATGATTAATGAAGATTTAAGAGAGAGTTAGAATGACTCTTAGGAAATCTATTTTTAGAACGAAAAAGATCAAATAGTTTTTCTAAATCGTCTGGGTATAAAGTATGGTTTAAACATAACTTTTATTAATTAAAGATATTGAGTTTGTCTGGCTGTATTTTTAGAAGTTATTCGGTCTGTCTATCTCAACCATTCTGTCTGATGTTCTATTTGTAGAGGAGACACATTTTAAACAGTTTATCTCCAAGAGTACAATTCAAGTCACGTGGGCTTTAAACACCATCTTTTCTTTCCACCAAAAAGGCACACAAACGGTGAGAAATGTGTGTGCCAAACGTTTCATAACTTTCCAGCCTGTGTACATTTACAGAACGCTAGTAGATTTTTTTTTTTAAATTTTCCTATCATTAGAGGCATCTTGGCATCTTTTCTGGTTTGGTTGTGTATTTAAATTGTAATTTAACGGACCGACATAAACGGCGTATAATTCTAATCAAAAGTTTCCCGTTTCTAATTAAATGAACACGGTTTCTAAACGAAATCTCGTAAAGATAAGGCGTTGGGATATATGGCCTTACATCGTAAAATGTCAACAAACGTCTTATTTCTTTGATAAATTATAATTAAATTAAACAATAACCGTGGGATGGGAATAGCGACAATCGTTACTGCTGTTTATTCTTATATATTTAAACAGTACGTTATATTTAGTTCGGTTATCTGATTTAACTTTCCCGGCGACAAGGCACCCAATTAAAAACGGTACAATGTTCTAAATATACTATTGTATAACTTTTTTATAAAGTAACGCGTTGGGTGCTGAATATGCTAGCTGTTGGCAGCAACCTCGGTGGCTGACAAGACCGAGGTCTGACCCCGGACTGTCAACTCCCGAGGTGGGCGATTCTTGAGTCCTAACAGTAGGTAAATTATTGTAAATTGTAGAAAATAATGCCGTTTAAACTTTTAATTTATTTGGGATATATTAGAACTAATCAGACCTATGTGCTATTTGCTTGTTTTATTTAATAGTTCTTGTTTTTGATCCGGAAAAACATGTATTCTAAAGAAACTGAAGTCTGTTGAAGGATGCCTCCAAATTATTCGGAAATCGTGAGATGCGATCTGGTGTGATGTAGGTTTCAGAAAAACATTTTCTTTATCGTGTCAACGTTTCGATCTTTATTGAGATCATCTTCAGGGCCTGGGATTTACAAACATTGTTTAAATTTAAGAAATACATGTAGGATGTGGAAAAAAGTGAATTTATACAATGCAAAAAAATATTTTTTATATTCAATCAAAGTATTTCAATCGTGAAAGCAATATAAATTAGCAGTTTATTAGCCGGACAGGAAATTATAATGAGGCAGGAGAGCCGAAAAGGATGATCGAGAATTGTTGAAAAAAAAAAACACTTTTCAATGCCAATTATTGTCCAAAATTTAGAATCCAGTCTGGTCCAAAGCAAAACAAAAAATCCGTCGAACCGATACAGAATATTTTACAGTAGTTCGTTCGTTTTCGATTATTCTGGTCAAACCATCATCCATAGTTTGGCCTGCCAATAAAAATATAGGCGAAATTTTTTGTGCGCTGGAGATTGAAGCAAGAACTTTCTCTTCAAGGAAAGATAAATCATAGAAACTTGTGACAAGTTACTTTAAACAACATTATGATTATTAAATCCGTCATATTTAGATTTAGTCTATTGACCAAATTACTTCTTTCAATTAATTAATCTTTTTATGTAAGATTTTGGTTGTTGGTTATTTGTTATTGCTCAAAAGCCCATCTGTGAAGTAGTTAAATTAATTTAAAAAAAAAGAGGTTTAAGTTTGCACTTTCCTATTGCTGTTATTACAGTCCCAAAAAACGATCTATAGATTGGTGGTAAATATTGTTCAAATTATCTTTAATCAAATTTTCAGTCTCTCTCACTCTCTCTCTCTCTCTCTCTCTCTCTCTCTCTCTCTCTCTCTTTCTCTCACGTTTTCTAAATTCTTTATTTTTCTCAATCATTACCTCTATTTTACTCAATCACACACATACCCTATATCTCTCAGTTTCTCTCACACACTCTATTTCTTTGAACCAATCTTCTCTATATTTCTTTTAATCTCCATTTCGCATGATCTTTAGCTTTAGTGAAGGTTTTTTTGTTGAGATAAAAAAGTCAGTGTTACGAGCGGGATTATTGAGATTTATCTCAATAAAAAACCTTAATTAATTGAAAGATATTAATTGGTCAAGCGGATCACGAAAACTAGTGAATTTAATAAGTTAAAATGAAGTATACCTTCACTGAAGGTCTCCGTGGCCATTTGATTTGTCGCCGAGAATCAAATAGATTACACGACATTTGAGGAATGGCAAAAAGGAAGGAAAATAAAAAAAAAGGTGGGGTTGAGATGGGAAGTTAGTGTCCGAGTGGATCGAGGTCACGATAGCTCAAGTGGTAGAGCAGCGGCGTATCTAGCCGAAGATCGTGGGTTCGAATCCCGCTCGTGACACTGAATTTTTTATCTCAACAAAAAACCTTAATTAATTGAAAGATATTAATTGGCAAATGGCAAAAAGGAGGGAAAATTAAAAAAAAAAAGTGGGGTTGAGATGGGAAGTTAGTGTCCGAGTGGATCGAGACTGGGCAGGTGACGAGAAATCAAAAAAATCAACTACTGGCTCTTTATTTCAAGTATATGGATGTGCTGTATCGAGGAGTGTCTCAGCACAACATTCTGTAGCATTATCCTCAACGAAAGCAGAGTATGTAGCGTTACCGACTGCTGCAAGCGAGGCTGGTTGAGAGGACTCTTGGAAGAACTAGATCTTCCATTTAAAGGACCAACAACGATTATGGAAGACAACCAAGCTGCTATCAAGACAGCAAACAACACGGAAAGCCATCGTAGAATGAAACATAGAGACATCAAGCATCACTTCATCTGAGAAAAAATTGACTCCAAAGAAATCAAAGTTGAATATATTCCTTCAAATGAACAATGATCTAATATTTTAACCAAACCATTAGGAAAGATATTATTTAATAAATTTAGAACTCAAATTGATTTACTTAATTTTTAAATTGTATGTTATTAATGTTTTATTTTCAGGCAGATTTGTAAATGTAATAAATTTTATTGAGGGAGAGTGCTGTAAAACAATAAAATTTATATGATCTTCTTTATGTACACTCTTGCCGCCCTTCCTATCTAGTCTTTTTTTCTGTGTTCTAGAGTCTAAGATCTGCCGCTGTTGTTATAACTATAAAATAAAAGTTTCTATGAACTTAGACTTTTATTCAAGCCCTTTTAATAATAATAACTTTAACAGAATCAGACAGACTCAACACTACGACGAATACGGATGAGCATACCAAAACGATCGGTTACACCAAAGAAACGATTTGTTTTTATATTTTAACAAATTTCATTTGCCTATAAAAAATATTGAGTGTAATAAAAAAAAACTATTTGTACCAAAGCTTTGATTTTTGAATTAGAAGAGGTGTTAAGTACAAATGTACAATATAAACATAAAAATATCAATCCCATCCGCGATAAGAACTCACCGCAAATTCAGTCACAACACATAGCTTTATATTACGTTTCCTTATCTCTGTTTGCGTTTGATTATTAGAATTTTTCTTGAAATCTGATGTTATCGGTAGTTTCTTGAACAAATCGATTCGAATCTGTTTGGTGTCAGTCGGAAGAGATTTTTCATTGTTGTGCAAACATTTTTAACCGAGAGACGTTCATCAAGCTCAGGTAGAAAATAGCATAAGACCGTGCTATTGTTCTCGTTGTAAACAGGTCTGGACATTATTGGCCATCAGGGCCGGCTTATCGGCCAAGACGCCACGGGAATACAAACGAGTTCGATTGTACGCTTCTTTCGCAAAAAGTGAAGTTTGGTAATCAATCCTGTTGGTATTCCACTCGAAAATGTCATTAATGCTCGACCGTGAAAATTGGAGGGCACGATGCAATTATTTTTCGAGGTTTCAGCTTTGAATTTCTGTCTGGACGATTGTCTTTATCAAGTTGTACAAACTGGCTTGTCAGGTGTGCCTGTGATTTTAATTCCGCCCGGATGTTCCGCTGGGACCCGGTGATTAAATGCGTACTAACTTCCGGTTAACGCACTCGTACAATGTTCCTTGACGTATTTTGTGTGGTGTGAATTTAAAAAAAACCACCTCAGTTTATATTTGACTAATGAAATATCTTACTAGGTCCGCTAAGTCTCGCTAATTGTAAAAAAATAAAGCATCTCGTTATCACAAATGTGACCCAATATTTTTTATAGGTATGTATTATAATATAAAATTTTGCCCCCATCCCCAAGTGTTTATATTTGACTATTGAAATATCATACTAGGTCCGCTAAGTCTCGCTAATTGTAAAAAATAAAGTATCTCTTTATCACAGATGTGACCCAACATTTTTTATAGGTATGTAATGTAATATAAAATTTTGCCCCCCTCCCCCAAGTACTTTTGATAATTACACACCACTCGTGTTCGTTTATTGGCAATTAGAAAATTAAGCCATATCTGATTGTTGTAAGCGTGAC